CACTTTTCCTTCAAACCAAAAAGAGGTCATCACATTTCCTGGCTCTCAGATTTTGTCAGTAGATAGAGCTTTACTGTAGTTTGGGTCGGGTGTGGTGGCTCAGGCCTGTAATCCCAGCACTTTGGGAGGCTGAGGTAGGAAGACCACCTGAGGTCAGGAATTCAAGACCAGCCTGGCCAACCTGGCGAAACTCTGTCTCTGTTAAAAATATAAAAATTAGCTGAGCGTCATGGTGGGTACCTGTAACCCCAGCTACTTGGGAAGCTGAGGCAGGAGACTCACTTGAACCCAGGAGGTGGAGGTTGCAGTAAGCTGAGATCATGCCACTGCACACCAGCCTGGGCAGCAGAGTGAGACTCTGTCTCAAAAAAAAAAAAAAAAAAAGAGCTTTACTGTAGTTTGCAGTTGCATTAGATGTGCTGCTCTCTGACCAGGGTGCAATGTGGCTTGGTATCAACCATGGACTGACCCCCAAGAACAATTCACCTATATGACGTTTCTGGCAGCTTGCAAGAACTCTGGGAATACCTTTCAGAGGGCCCTGGACCAGGAATATCTGCCTGGGTGTGAGAGACAACCTTCCACCCTCCACATAGCTTCTGGGCCATGACATGGAAATCTCACAGGGCACCCTGACCCAGGCAGAAGAGGAGAGGGTTAGCCTCACAGGGTGTGGACAGCTCCCAGGCTTCTGGAAGACTTCAAACTTATTGCAGACAGAACCCTCTTCCTCATTTCAGTCCACCAACACACTTGGTGGCTAGAGAAACTTCACTTCCCATTTCTATTTATATATTTTTATAAATATATATGTTTTTTGTTTTACACGAGATGTGTGTTTAAACAACCAGATCCTGGATTTGAAGAGGAACATATCTGGGATTCATTCTGTTCTTTTAAGTGTCACTTAGTCCTGTGTAAGGACAGCTTTGCCCTATGGGTAACAGCAACATTTTAGAAGTTATAAAATTGTCCTTAGTTTTGCAATAAAATATTTAAAAAATAAAATTCTCCAATCTAACAATGTATGCAAAGATTGTTATGGCTTTTTCTTCTCCCTGCACCAAGCCTTAAGGATCATTATTTTGTTGTTAAAGTCCTGAAATACGGAGATAAGAGGTAAGTGAGCGTCCCCTGGTGGAGAAAGGGAGTCTTTTTTCCAGAATCGGTGTTTTCCCTTGCCTGGTGTCCATTGGAAATCACTCAACACAAACCGCTGGACATTCAGTACAATCAAGCAAGCAAGCAAACAAAATCATCAGTATGCTTGTGCTCTACACTCTATGATTGATGTACAGGAAAGGAACGAGGAAGAGGAAAGTGAAGAATAGAGAAAGGGATACTGGACCAGCCAGACGTGGTGGAACCATACTGCAGTTTTCCACATGAGAATGTCTGCTTGGTCTGTAGGAACAGAGTTCTGGGATAAAGCAGCAGGTATGTTCTCAGTAGACACTCCTGTCTGCTTCTGGAACACATCAACTGTATCTTTGTCCTCCATTTCCAGCTGTGCAAATGGTTCCCAGGAGAACCAATCAGTGAAAGTAGAAGCTCATCAGCATCGTGGACAAACTCTGCCTTTTACCAAAGGCTTCCACTCATTCACTAAGTGGTGTGTGCCTCTCACCATCAACTGCACCCCAGGACCATCCTGCCTGCCATCTTTAAATTCACAGGATTACTGCTCTGGGCCTTGACTCGGGCTCTTTCTGTCATAGTGGAGCCTGAAAGCTCTTCTTCAGCTGCAGCTTGAAGAAAGAGGTTCAGAGTGTGCAGCAAACTAGCAAGCTAGCAGCCCCCAATGCCACAGGTGGAGGAGGCAGCAGAGCCTAACTTGACGTTTTTATCACCATCTCTACAGCAACAGCAGCAGCAGCAGCAATCACAACTACTATTTCTAATTGTGGTGGTAATAATAATGATCACACTTAGAATAATGACGAATAACAATAATTGTAATTGCTAGCCGGGTGCAGTGGCTCACACCTGTAATCCCAACACCTTCAGAGGCCAAGGCGGGTGGATTATTTGAGGTTAGGTTGCATGTTGACATGCTTGGTGCTTAAACTCACACAGTCCCCACACCACAGGAGGATACAGCCAGCCACAGCCTAACCAGCAAGGTGAAGGGCAAATCGCAAAATTTGAGACCAGTCTGGTCAACATGGTGAAACCCCATCTCTACTAAAAATACAAAAATTAGCCAGGCATCGTGGTACACACCTCTTATCCCAGCTACTTGGGAGGCTAAGGCAGGAGAATTGCTTGAACCCAGGAGGTGGAGGTTGCAGTGAGTCGAGATCATGCCACTGTACTCCAGCCTGGCTGACAGAGCAAGACTCTGCCTCAAAAACAAACAAAGAAAAAAAAATGTAATTGCTGACATGTTCAGTTTATATGTAAATTTATTGTTTGTAATGTTCTATAATTTACTTTTAGTAAATATACACGTTAATTGTGTCATAAATATCAGGACCCCAAAACACCCCACCTAATGAATGACTCACACCTATGGACCTATGGCTGCTCACCTGCTACTGCAGATCGTCTCACCGCCCCACCCAGAGCTTCCATCTCTCTGGTCAACCTTCTGGGACAGTGAAGTAGCTGAAGTACTCCTATGATCTGATCGGGGTCTTGGCAAACAGCTTGACTTGTTAGAAATCAAAGGCTGACTTTAAGATATACTCAGATGTTGGGCTAAATTGAGGCAGGAGCAAATGTCTTCTCAGCAGATCTACCTTTGTGTCTCTTGTTTTCAGAGTAAAAGGTTGTTTCAGGAACAGTGGTTTGATTTAGTCTGTATTAAAAATCAAAAGCAACCTACAAATACTGAACAGGGATGAAAGTAATTTGCACACATGTTCAGCGCATTATATGTGGTTTCAAATCTCTCCAATGATAAGAAATGAAAAGTTATGCCTTGATTTTTTAAACTCAGTCGTCAGCCATTCTGCCAAAATATTCCATATGTTTCCAAGACATTTCACAAGCATTCTCTGGTGGAGATTATTCCCAATTGTGAAGAATACTAGAAGGATGAGCATCTCAAAAGAACCTTTATTCTACTGCAGAAGAGTCACTTTTCAGGATCTCAAAGGCCTAGGGAAGCTGCTTGAATTGTCAGGTCTATGGAGGTGCCTGGGCTTTGGAGTCAGGCAAAGTTGATCCTGAGTCCCAGTCCAGCCACTCAGTAGCTGTAGCACTTTGGACGAATTCCTTGACTTGGAACAGTTCTATAAACCTTGTTGTAAGAAAAGGCAGAATGATACAGATTGCAAAGATGGCAGCAAGTCTGCATCCCCTCTGGTATCCGTGCCCTTTGGAATATGCTTTTACAGCTGCTCCAACAGAGGGGCAGAATCTGTTTCCTGACACTTGGATCTGGACTGGCCTTATTTGTTCTAAGCAATAGGAAGCTATGAATATGGCAGTGTGACAGTTTGGGGTCTAGGGATGAAAGGCCTTGAATGCTTCTGCTTTTTCTTTTAGAACTTGCCATCTCCATGGGAACAAGCACATGTTAGGCTGCTGGAGGATGAGCTCCCATGGGGAGGAAAACCAAGGTGCCCTAGTTGACAGCCAGCTCACCCCCAGAAGCAGAGTCACTTAGTCAACCAGCAGCTGACCACACATGCCTGAAGGAGCCAAGCTGAGACCAGAAGAATGGCCCAGTAGAGTCCTGCCTAAATGACTGACCATCCCAATCATGAGCTAATAAGGTTTAGGGTAGTTTTTTATGCAGCAGTAGCTAACTGATACATACACCTGTGCAGTCAGGATCCTAGGATTCAAATGACAGGTTGGTTACTACTGGTTACCTGCCAAACAGAAGGCACTATGTAGGTATTGATTTCCTTTTCTCTTTGTTTAAGTGAGCCTCTTGATAGATGGGGATAAGTTACACCGAAATGCATGTTGACATGCTTGGTGCTTAAACTCACGGAGTCCCCACACCACAGGAGAAAACAGCCAGCTCTAGCCTAACCAGCAGGGTGAAGGGCAAATCACAAAATAAAAAGTTTGCCTTTATTCCCTCCGCATTCAAACTTTGGAGATCAAGGCTGTGGACAGATCTGAAGGCAGGTTTCTCTTCCTGAAGCCCTACACTCTTCGTTCACTGTCTGGCCTTTAGAAGGGTGAAGGACCCCTGCCCAGCAGCAGGTGGGCAGCAGTGGTCGACCTATGGACACCTCCTGACTGCAGCAGCAGCTCTCTCACTGGGCCCTCTCCCGCCCTTGGGCATGAGGAGCGAGATGGGCCGGATGAGGGTGTTCCCTCACCTCTGACTGGAAAGCGGGTGCAGGACCTCTACTTCCTGAGGTTAGACTCGCCAGGGCCCTGAGAGCTGCCCTTCCTTGTGGCAGCCACTGCCCACGTGGGGCTGCTGAGCTCTTTGGATGGGGCTGGTTGGAACTGAGATGTGCTAGAGGCTTAAATACAGAGTGACTTTAGAAGATTTAGTACCCAAACACCTTCACTGATAATTTTATATTACTCATATATTTAAATGATAATACTTTGGATCTATTGGGTTAAAGTATTACCATCAAGTTCACCTGTTTTCCTTTCATGATGCCACTAGACTACTGTAAATCTCACATGAGGCTCACTTTTTATTCCTATGGGACATTTCTGACTTAGAGGACTCCCTCTCTTATCAAATCTCATGCTGCCGCCTCAAGGAACCAGAGGCCATGAAGGTTATGAAATCCGAAATTTTAGAAGAACCGTTATTATATAATTTCCAATTTTAAATATTACGTATATTACTCATAAATTGATATAAACTTATGTGTAAGGTTAAATGCCAATGTTCCTGGACGCTCCAGGGCCCAGCACAGGAAGTCAGCCCCGCCTGGAAGGGGCAGCAGACAACAATCATTCATTCAGGCCTCATTCAGCCACAGCTGGAATCGTATTCCTGTCACTCAGGGCGCGAGGGGGCGGAGCCTGGAGCCCTATCCAGTCAGCGGCTCCGTGGTCGAGCCTGTCCAATCAGGCGCGCAACCGGCAAAGGGGAAGCACTTCCTGAATTATGGGCTGGACTTTTCCTCTTACAGGTCCGCGTACCTGCTTGATCCGTCTTAGCTGCTCTTTCTCCTTCATTCGGCAGCCTCTTTTGCCCTGTGTCCTGCAGGTACTGGGAGGATATCGGGGCGCTCCTGAAGCCTAGAGATGGTGAGTCTGCGGGGCCGAGCTTCCCAAGACTAGGGGGTCGGCGGGAACCGGCGGCGACCTGGGCCTCCCCCGGGCAGCTCTGGAGTCTGGACCCGGAGTCTCCTGGGTCGCACGGTGCGGCTGGGCCAGCAGCTGGGACCCGGGCGTCCCGTCCCCTCCCATCTCTGCGTGGCAACCTCGTCCCTGCCCGGAGCCCTCTCTGGGCAGCTCCGTGCCTGCAGCCCCGCGTCTCCCCACTTTGTGCGGTGATGACCGGAGGGTCCTTAAGAGAGAAACCCGGCTTGTGGTGCAGGGTTCGGGCTTGGGAGGAGCTGTGGTCCGTGGGGTCCCTGGTCCTTCCTTTCTTTTTTTTTTTTTTTTTTTTGAGACGGAGTTTCGCTCTTGTTACCCAGGCTGGAGTGCAATGGCGCGATCTCGGCTCACCGCATCCTGGGTTCAGGCAATTCTCCTGCCTCAGCCTCCCGAGCAGCTAGGATTACAGGCACGCACCACCGTGCCCAGCTAATTTTTTGTAATTTTAGTAGAGACGGGGTTTCACTATGTTGACCAAGATGGTCTCGATCTGTTGACCTCGTGATCCACCCGCCTCGGCCTCCCAAAGTGCTGGGATTACAGGCTTGAGCCACCGCGCCCGGTCGGTCCTTCCTTTCTTTTGTAAAAGTTAAACTGAGGTTTGGTTAAAACGTTAAAGACTGTGAGCAAATAACGATTCGTGATTCAGGAAGTCACAGCCATGGACTGTGGTTTGGGTCCACCGGAGGGGCTTGAAGGAAAGGGTTTTATAAGGTGCATGAGGAAGCAAACCCAATTCAGTAATTGATTGGCTGAAGTTATATAGCCCCCTTATGGGAACTGCCCCGGTGGAAATTTCCTGGTTATGTAATCAAAGGTTAATTGGTGGTTTGTGGTTAATTAAGAAGTTTTTGTTTTCCTTAGTTATTTATAAGAAATGCATGAGTTGTGTTTTGGTTTTCTTAGGTAGAAACCCAGGGCACTACAGCCATTTCAGTGTAAGTGCCTCCCATTTAATTAACACTCCACAAGGGGACTGACTTTTCCCTGCATTTGTATGGCAAGCAGGGTCTCAAATCCACTATCCTGTTCCCCCAGCCTAATTCTTCTAAGGCTCGCAGTAAAATTCTAAATTTTCACTTCTTTCCCCTGATTCTCAACTTCCGGCTTCCACTCTGTAATTCATAACATTGTCAACTATTTGTTCTTTATTGTGGATTTCAAGCAGATGCAGCCTGACCATTAGAGCCAAGGCCAAATTGCAAAATAAAAAGTTTGCTTTTACTCTGCTCCATTCACATCTAAACTTTGGAGGTCAAGGCTGTGGACAGATCAGAAGGGTAGTTCCCTCCTCCTGGGGCTCCACTGATCTCTGGGAAGGAGGATGGGTGGCAGGTAGACAGCAATAGTTCACCTGTAGCCACTTTCACCTAGGCCCTAAAGGCCGAGTGTTTGCCTGACAGAATGGGATGTCAGGGGCAGCATGGAAAAGCACAACGGTGAGAAGGCAAGTGTCAGGTATTCTCAAATCTCAGGCTTCTGTGATCTGGGGAATGTAGACCTCAGTGGAGGAGCTGCAGGAGCTGGGGTTGCCTTTAGGCTGGTGCCTGAGAGCACTGGCTTTAGAAGCTTGATTTTGGCCAGGCATGGTGGCTGACTCTTGTAATCTCAGCACTTTGGGAGGCAGATCATCTGAGGTCAAGAGTTCAAGACCAGCTTGGCCAACATGGTGAAACCCCGTCTCTACGAAAAATATAAAAACTAAACAAGCATGGTGGCTGCGCGTGCCTATCCCAGCTACTTGGGAGCTGAGACAGGAGAATTGCTTGAACCCAGGAGGTGGAGGTTGCAGTGAGTCTAAATCATGGCGCTACACTCCAGCCTGGGTGACAGAGCAAGACTCAGTCTCAAAAAATAAAAAAGGCAGCTTGATTTTGTGAGCAGTGCACTTCTTAAAAGGGTTCCAGGTAGCACTTGTGAAATATGAGATGGGAGATTGAAGGTGGGTGACTTCATAAGGAGTGGGGGGGGCCTTTGCAGAGCAGAGACAAGTTTGTGAAGAAAGATGAATTTCATCCCTGCAGGATGAGTCTTTGATGATACTGAAGAGAGAGTCACATGTTGATGCCCAGGAGGCAGCTGTCTCCGTGGTCTGAAAAGCCCGATTGAGGCCAGGCTTGGCTATGAGAGCTGGGAAATGGGAGGACCTTTGAAGCCGTGGGAGAGGGTGAGGTGAGAATGAGAGGTTGGGGCCCAATACCCCCAGCTCAGGACTGATGGAAGAGGATGGAGCTGGAGAGGGAGGGATGAGGGTGTGGCATTGGTCAGGGAGGAGGAGGAGGCAATGAGCCATGGCCTGGGGTGCTGCTAAGTGGACTGATGCCACTGAGCTGGAGAAGCCCTTGAGGCCTGGTGATCTGGGGAGAGTGGTTCGGGCATGAGCTTAGGTGGAAGCCAGACTGTGGTGGGTCCAGGAACAGTGAAGGAGAGAGGCACGGGATGTGGAAGGGAGAAGGTGGTGACCTGCAGGTGCACCAAGCTGGGACTCTGCGGCTGAGGCTCAGGAGGGCACGAGTCATAGGCACGGGAACGCTGTTCCATACAACTCATACCCACCCAGGAGGGGTGAGGCAGACAGCCCTCCCTCAGCAGCGAGGCACATCTGACTCAGTGCCTTTCTTGTCACCCCCAGAGCCACCATCACTCATGTTCTTGAATGGGAACTGCCTGGAGAGCATGAAGAAGGAGCAGGAGCCTGAAGGAGGAAGGAGGAGGCTGAGCCACTTCGGGAACATGGACTGGATGAGGCCAAGCCAGGAGATGACACCATGAAATAGGAAGTCACCATTCAGGATTCAGGCTTTTCTGTGGAGCTCCTGGCCCCAGGATCGAGCCCTTCTCCCTGCGGGTACAATGGAGGAGGGGAGCTGGGGACCAGGGCCTGAGCCTGCTGGGGAGGATGAGGGTGGAAAGCCCAGCCTTGCCCTGGCTCCTCCTGGCCCCATGCTGTAGGCAGGAAATGGAGGACTCTGGGCTCTGCCTGGGTCACTCTGCTAGCGTGGTGGGCCTGGGAATGGAGTCCGGGTTCAGGTCACTGCCTTATTGCTAGAGGACAGCTAGCAGCTGGGCCTACCAGCCCTGTTCAGGGAGAGAAGTGAGGAGTGTCAGGTCCCAGGACGCCCCAGTCTTGCTATGTGTCCTCAGGCAAGTCACCTCTCTCTGGGCCATGACCTTACCATCTGTCACATGGGGGTGGTGGTGATATTGGGTGTTCTCCAGGGACAGAGCCAACCCAGAGGACTTGCAAGCTGGTAACTTAGTGGGGAGCCGGGCAAGGCCCTCTCATGTTCTCTCCGCTCACAGGCTTGGGCCCTGGAGCACCCCTTCAGGAAGGAAAAGGCCATCTGCCCTGGGCTGCTCAGCCCTTGGCACTAGGCAAGGGCAAAAGCAAGGCTGCCGTTCTCCCTCCCCCCTTTCTTCCATCTCCCTCTCCTCTGCTCCGGGGTTGCTCTTAGGCTGTGGGATGAATCAGTGGGGCCAGGCTCTGTCCTGCACTTAAGCACACAGGTGACAGGGCCCTGAGATGGGTGGGTGGCCCCATCTCCCTTTCCCCTGCTTGCCATCGGGTTCAGCACCACCCATTACAAAGGGGGTCACCCCATTCCAGGCATGCAGCTGGATGGCCCCTGTGACAGAGCACACTATGGACTGCATGTGTGGAGAAGCACCTGCACCTCGAGGCTGGGCTGTGAGGAGCACAGTCCTGCATAGGGGCCTGCGGCCTGACCCTACCCTCACTGGGAACCCCCTTCCTTCCTGGGTGCCAGGTGGAGTTCTTTGCACTTCTCTGAGGCTCCATGCGGGTCTGCTCATTTGGGAATCTGGGGCTGTAGGTAAGAAGAGAGGAGAAGGGACTTCCAGAGTAGGATGCAGTTCACAGGCTGAGCCCTTGTCTCCCTCCCTGGTCCCTCTGCAGCCCCAGAACTGGAACGAGGAGCTGCAGGCAGTGAGGGACCTGCCAACAGGAACCGACCTGAGCAGCTGCTGCAAGGAAGAGCCATGTTCAAGGGGCCCGAAGCCCCTGGTGAGTGAGTGACAGCGTCACAGCCTCAGGCCCACCTGCCTCCTGCTGGAAGGTTTTCTTGTGCACAGGAGGGAAGCGAGGGAAGCTGGTATAGTCCCAGCCCTGTCAGGTGCCCTGAAGACCTTCTAGCCTTCTGTTTCCTGGCAGACCATCCCAGCACCTTTCTCTGGCCTCTGTGAGACTTTGGGTCCCTGGAAGAAGAAGGCGCTGCCTGCTATCTGGGCTGAGCAGCCAGAGCCAACCAGCTTCCCACCCTCCACTGAGTGCCATGGGACCCTTCCCTGAGCACACGGTGCCCATCATGGCCGTTCTAGGGCAGGGGCTCATTGACATAGCACTTTCAGCTCGCTGGGGTTTAAACGTCATTAATGCTGTTTCTTAGAGAAATGAGGACAAAATAATTGTTTAAAAAAAGTCTCTCCTAAACTTCCTGCCTAGAGGTGATCATGGAAGAAGTAATTTCTTGGGTACTAACTTTACCGGGATGATTCCAAGTGCTTTACAAGCATCATTTCCTATAATCTTCTGGTCCCCTTGTAAATATCAGTACTTTTTGTCATCGTTGTATAGATGAGAAACTGGGTCTGAAGTTACCTGCCCAGGTTTGCTGGGCACATGACTGGGGGATCCCAAACCTGCCCCAGCCCTCGTACTCCTTGTTAGCCACTAAGCTCTGCACCTCCTTAAGTGTTTGGTTTTTTCAAAAAATGGTTTTCTTGCCCTTCTCTAAATATAAGGAAACTGAGGCAAGAGTCCCTGACTCCCAAGGCAGGCCTGGCTGCCTCCCCCATCATGGTGAGCTGGGCCAGGTGGGTGTAGCCTGAGGCTTTTGTGGGCATGGTCTCTCCCCCTCCCAGTCTCAGCCCCTCCCAGGCACACAGCAGGTTCAGGGTGGCAGCCACATGGGGCACCATGGTAGTCAGGGGGGCATCGTCATGGCCATCAGCCCCACTGAGGAGACCAAGCTGCAGATGTTCATCTGGAGCCACATCGTCTTCAGCCTGGGCTTTGTTGTTAGTGGCCACTACAAGGACTTGGCTGGGGACGTGGTGGCCTCTATAGCATTCACCATGACCTGAATGGTGAGCAGTTGCGCAAGTGCAGCGGACCTAGAGGGTCTGTACACGCTGGACACAGCGGAGGTGGATGACTGCGACTTTTGGGTCAGGTTCCAGTCCTCATCCCTGGCATCCTGGAATGGGACCAGGAGCAGAGTGTCATCTGTAGCTTCACTGACCTTGCAAGACGGTGGTGTGGCCCCCGTGGTGCCTGGAGCTGCTGGAGCAAGAGTTAACTGCTCAAGACTTTGTGACACTGTGTGCTCAAGCACTGTGATGAGGAGGCGGAGCTCTTCTCGGTGAGGGCAAGGGCGTCTTTGGCAATGACAGCTGCCACTGCATTCTCTACCTGCTAATCCCCCTCTCCCTGACCTCGGCCCCACAAGGGGCTGCGAGAGGAGTGCTCCCATGGCAGCTTCCCCTGCACCCATAGGCACAAATGCCTTTGTGGAGCACACGTGAGGAGCAGCCCTGTGAGGCTGGAGCTGCAGCCAGCTGCACCCAGCTGGGGGCACGGGTGCCCTGGGTTGTTCTGGGGCTGAATTGTTGAGGAGAGAAGCTCTGCTCAGTGAAGCAGGGCTTGTTCTGACCACATTCACTAGAACCCCCTTCCATCAGGCTCCCAGATTCAGGATCAGGAGCTTTGTGTTGGTTCCAAGCTAGGGAGCAGTCAAACCAGTGGCCCAGCTGAGCTGTGCTTTTCTCCTTAGGAGCATTTGGAAGTTGCTGGGTGGTTGTGAAGGTCACAGTCCCCGAGTGCTGCTGCTGGTGTTTTGTGCTTAGGAGTTGACCATGTTAAATGTCCTACACACAAGTAACTCTTTTTCAGAAGCCAGTGGCATTCCTGTCTCTCTTGAGAGTCCTGGCCTGATGGGGACCCCCTATTCCTCACCTCCATAATCTGGCTGTCTTCTTCCTTTCTGGGGAGATCTGGTAGTTACCACCTTGTTGCTTGGGTGTGTGAGAGCAAAGCTGAGTTCTGGTCGGCCTTGCAGCAGGAGAAGGAAGGCAACATCATCTACACCATGTATTAGGCCCAGGTGGGCTATGCCAGGACTGGCGGGCTGAACTGCACCTGTGGGCAGCTGATCCTTTCCTGCCTCTGCTCTCTCCCCTGTTTTTGGGTGAGGACCACAAGAAGGAAAGCTCAGAGAACATCAAAGTCCTGGCCCAGGAGGCCATGGCCCAGCAGGGCACCGTGAACAGGATCTACCCATCAGCTGCAGTGCCGGCATCCTGCCCCTCCAGGTGTGTCCATGGGTGGAGCCCGGCCCCCACCCAGCCCAAGTAGGCTTATTCACAGCTCATCCCCACAGCCCCTCGGTTCACAGCTCCCAGCATGGCCAGCATCTTACAGCAGCTCCAGGTCATCAGTGACATCCTCCTCATTCCTCTTCGCTGGGGCCCCTCCAAGCTTGCTACTTAGAAGTTGGCCTTTAGTTTTTTAAGATATGTAATATGCTGACATGGCCCAAAATTGAAAAGTGCAACCAGTGATGAGAAGTTCCTTGTGAATGCTTCCAGAAATACCCCATGTGATCTCTTTCCCTCTCTTTTTTTCCTTTGAAAGTGTGGCAGGCCTCACATGAAGGTTATTATTGTTTACTTCATTTAACAATATTTCTTGGTGATCTTCCATTTCAGTTCCTAAGGAGTGGCTTTATTCCTTCCCAGCTGCCTCTCACTCCAGTGCAAAGTGTGCCTTAGGAGCAGGCCCTGAGGACTCCTACAGTGCTGACACAAGCAGTGCTGCCTTTGGGAGCCCCTAACTTCCCGCCTTGTCTCCCCTCATGGTGGGAAAGGGGTTTGGTCAGCCAGCGGTGTCAGCATCCCTGCCCCACACCCATTGTCTACACCCAGTCTGGTAGCAAGGAGGCCACAGAGTGCAGCGATTAGAACTGGGTGTGAGAGTGAGAGGCAGCTGGGCCCTATGCTGAGTCATGTGCATGGAATCCTGACTGTCAGCAATTAGGGATCTTTTTGCTTTTGGGAGGGAAGCACTTGTTTGACAGGTCTCAATAAGGCACAGAGCCTGATCTGTCCAGAGTGGGAGTTTAACCAAGGTAGAGCGGGAGTCAAGGGCCCTGGCCCAGTCTGACACCCACCTGCCCTCCCACCTTCTCAGCCAGAAGACTAGGAGAATCTGATAGCAGAGGTGGTGCAGCACCACCAGCTCCAGGAGTCCAGTAAAACAGGGATAGGGCATTCTGGGAGGTCGAGGCAGACGGATCACTTGAGCTCAAGAGTTGGAGACCAGCCCAGGCAACATGACAAAACCCCATCTACAAAAAAGTGCAAATACTAGCCTGGTATGGTGGTGTGACCTGTAGTTGCAGCTACTCAGCAGGCTGAGGTGGGAGGATCGCTTGAGCCTGCGAGGTCCAGGCTGCAGTGAGCCATGATTGTGCCACTGCACTCCAGCATGAGTGATAGAGTGCAACCCTGTCTCAAAAAAACAAAAAAAAACAGAGCTAGGGCTGAGGAGCCTATGGCCACTGAGCCTGAGCCAGTGAAACTGAGCCAGTGAAACTGAGCTCTCTGCCCTGTGGCTGCCAAGGAACCTTATTCCTTGAGCTTGCAGGGGTCAAGAGGTGGGAGAGACAGACGGATAGTCAGCGGCCGTTATCAGTGATTCGGACTCCAGGAGAAGGGGCAGGCCTCTCTCCCATGTGCCACCCCTACCTTCCTCCTGGGACTCCAGCCTGAATGCCCCACTAAAAGATGCTTTTGCACTGATTCAGTTAATATGTCATTCAAAGGCCCAATTGAAGTCCCATGAATGGTTAAGGGGCCCCTCCAGCTCCCCATTTTTCCCTCAGGCTCCCCGTATTACACTCCAGCAGGGGTGTGGAGTACATCCATGGCCAAGAGTATTGGTCTGTCCTTCCCAGCCTGTACATCATGCCAAGACAGTGGTGAGTGGATGATGTGCAGATGGGATTTCTCAGCTCATCTGTATGGTTGACATTATGGCTGCTGCTTTTACTGCCACAACTCCCAGGCCCAACCTGGCTCAATGTCTAAGTTGTAAGCCAAAAAAGATGGGCAGCCAGGGCTCTGTGGCAGGGTTGGGGGTTGGGGTGCACTTTAGTTTTGTGGCAGGTTGAAGTCTGCAGTGGTTTTATTTATCATGATTGGCCTGGTGGTAGCTCCAGGCTGAGGGGGACTGGTTTGTCAGTGGTGGTCCCCTAGATGTCCCTGTGCCCAGCCTGGCCTGTTTGCCCTCAAGCCCAGCAGGAGGTGCTGCCACAGGCTGTGACTGGCCTCCCTGCTCCCTGTACCCCAGATGGACATAACGTTGGGGTCTACAGTCTGAATATATCATTCTCCCCATTTTAACCTGAGCTGCCTGACACAGGGAGGGTAGGGGGGGTAAGGGGACCTGGGGAACCAGGGCCGAATCATGGATCTTGGGGAACAGTTACAGACACAGGTGGGGTTGTCACCTCTCTGTGGAGCCTTGCTCCATGCCACACAGCACCTTCTTAAGAGACTAGCTCTGGGGGTGGCAGGCAACCCCACAGGCCATGGTTGCACCCTCTCTTCACCTGTCTGTGCCTGCTGTCAAAGCCCAGACTGAGGGAGGAGATTCTACCCTGTGAGCCCTAGAGAGTCACATTCAGCTGTGACCTCGGCCTGGGGCTTTACAGAGAGCTTCTTATGGGTATAGTGTCACCAGACACCTTGTTTCAGAGGGGGTGGGCATTGCTGGCAAGTGGAGCACCCCCACAGCTGATGAGGAACTTTTTCTCATTTTTGAACCATCATGTCTTCATTTCACATTGGAATAAAGTGAGGTTTTGGAACCTGCTGCCCCAGTCTTACTGGATTGTGAGGGCTGTGGTCAGGTTACTAAGAGAGGAATCTGTATAAATTAGGTCAAATTCAAGGTTATGCTTGTTATGTCACCTGAGTGGGAGGTAAAAGGGTGGAGTCATAGGCACTCAGTTGGGGTTTACTTGGCCCAGTCACTAGACTCGGGATTGTGGCACAGGTGAACATCCCGTCATTGGTGACAGAAGAAAAAAGGCTGGAGTGAAGGCCGGGTCGGGGAGGGGTGCCAGGTTGTGCAGCCAGGCCCGAGGCATGCTGGACCTATTAGGTCACTGAACATTTGACTGGGCACGTGCCCCTGTCCCTTCACTTGAGGTGGGATTGGCAGCACTCCCTAAATGGCATGAGTGCCGGGAGAGTGGAGGAGGACCTGACATTTGCCATCCTGGGGTAGGTTTTAGAGATCACTAGATGCTTGTGGAGAGCTAATGAGATGGGAAGAAGGCAGCCCACCTCAATGGACCTGAGGAACAGCGCCTGCGAAGTAAGAAGCGGGTGTGTGGAGGTGGCCTGTCTACAAGTGGGCAAGTTTAAGGCTCATTGCAGTGGCACTGTTGTTGGAAAAGGGTTTATAAAGTCGGGAAGAATCCACACTGAGACAGTGGATCACTCAGCAAGCCTAGTTTTACGTCCTGCAGGAACGGTGCAACTTGCTGGCAGTCTTGCCATGAGAGCACATCTGAACAAGGGAGACAGGGACATTTATAACTTTCATAACGTGACACAATCGCCCTACTGCTATGTCCAATTTCCATTGGCCAGAACGGGACCTCACATTCTATGCTTGATTCAATTGGCTAAAATCTTGGAAATTTTCTAAAGAGGTAAAGGCAGAGGAGAACAAAGGAAACGAGGAAGTAACAAGGAATGCTTAGAGAAGCGATAACATTTTCAAATAAGGAAGGGGAATAAGCTATAACCTAAGACGTGCCTGGGCTTGTCCAGGCATATCAGGGCAAATATTTAGGTTAAAGTGTAAGAACTAGGAACACAGGATGCACTTGCTTCTTTATTATGACTAACAGCTACTTTATTAGCAAAAGCTTTAAAGTAAATTAACCTTTGAAGAAACGTATATATTTGTAATGAACTAAGGGGAAAGCTTTGAAGAGGAACCTTTCATTTATTCTTACTTCCTACAACTCTCAGCTCACTGCAGCTGGTGGCTGCTGCCAGGCCATCCCTCTCCAGAGCAGGGAGGACCTCAGCCTCACATATAATTGAATGCCTTTTGGGATGTTTGGATAGTCCTTTCTTACTGGGAAATTCAGAAAAGAAAAAAAAAATTCCAATCCTCATGTCTGTTAGTTTCCCTGAGCCAACTGATAAAAGATGTTCCTGACCACGAGATTTTGAGTGACACCCAAGGGAAGCCACCAGTGCCTTGGCCACTGCATGCTCCTCAAACCCCCAGCAGTTCCCTCTGCAGTCTCACAGTTGTCTTGAGCAGTGGAGTAAGGTGTGGTGAGAGAGGTGCTAAGGGATGGGATGAGGGCCTTTCCTGTGTTATTAAAACGGTTAAAGAGTTGTTTTAGACCAGGCCCAGTGGCACATACCTGTAATCCCAGCACTTTGGGAGGCCAAGGCAGGTGGATCTCGAGATCAGGAGATGGAGACCATCCTGACTTACACAGTGAAACCCCGTCCCTACTAAAAATACAAAATATTAGCCCGGCGTGGTCGCACGCGTGTAGTCCTAGCCACTCGGGAGGTTGAGGCAGGGAATCCCTTGAACCAGAGAGGCGGAGGTTGCAGTGAGCCAGTATCTCGCCAATGCACTCCAGCCTGGGTGACAGATGGAGACTCCCTCTCAAAAAAAAACCGTTGTTTTAAAGGTGTCCAAATGCCGTCCTTCTTAAACTTAATTAGCTAATAAGATGCCTTATACAAGCAGAACCAGGTAAGGGAAAGCAAGTGCATTTCAAGTCGCGGCTTACCCCAAGATTAGCTATAATGCCCTCCGCAGGTGGCCCCACCTCAATGAGCCGGTCTGCCATTCAATACAAATGAAATGAAATGATGAGGGGCAGGGAGGGCCTGGAGCTTTACCCAATCAGGGGCGCTGGAGTGGAAATCGTCCAATCGGGAGCAGCCTGAGAGCAGGAACGGCTTCCTGATTTGGCGGGGGCGTTTGTCCACTACGGTCAGAGCTCGGGTCTCCTCCCCGCGGCAGCTAGTCCTTCGATCTGAGAGGCCCAGGTGGCTTCGTGTTCTGAGAATAAACAGAGCCTCTGTTGCTCTCTGTGACCTGCAGGCACTGGGAGATCTGTAGCTAAGACGCCAGGACATCCCGGAAGCTGGGAAATGGTGAATGTGCCAGGTCGGGGGTCCCCACAGGAGGGAGCGGGGTGGTCGGAAGCGGCGGGAGCCCACTGTGGGGGCATCGGGCCTTCCCGCAGTCAACTCCGGGGTCGGGGCTCTGAGTCCCCTTGCGGGCTCAGTTCGGCCCTCCGTCCCCTCCGCCTCAAGATGGCGGCTGGGCGGGCAGCCGGGACACCTCGCCTCCCGTCCCGACCCCGCGGGGCGACCTTGGCCCTGGCCGGAGCCGCCTCTGGGCAGCTCCGCGCCACAGCCCCGAGTCTCCTCATATTGTGCAGTGAAGACTGGGAGGTTCTTAGGGGAGACCCCAGCTGGGCGTGAGTGGGGTGTGGCAAGAAACTGCCCCGTAGGGTCCCTAGTCACTCCTTTTTCCTAGTACAAATTAAGAGAGTGGTCGGGCACAATGGCTCTCGCCTGCAATCCCAGCACTTTGGGAAGATCAGACGGGCGGATCAGGAGGTCAGGAATTCGAGACCATCCTGGCTAACACGGTGAAACTCCATGTCTACTAAAAATACAAAAAATTAGCCGGGCTTGGTGGCGCGCACCTGCAGTCCAAGCTACTTGGGAGGCTGAGACAGGAAAATCCCTTCAACCCGGGAGGCAGAGGTTGCAGTGAGCCGAGATAGCACCACTGTAGTCTAGCCTGGGCTACAGAGCGAGACTCCGTTAAAAAAAAAAATTAAAAGGAGTCACCCTTAAAGTGTTAAAGAGTTTATTTGAGCAAACAGCGATTGGTGAAATAGTAAGCCTGCCACCGTGGTTTGTAATTCTGGGCTTAGCTTTTGAATGTTGCCAGGGAAAAGAAATAGGGACAATCTCTCTTCCACTATGGCTGTAGAAAACGAATGCATTTTCACAGTAAGTGTGCTGGATTAATTGGTCAGTTACAAACATTCATTAAAACATCAGGTCCTCTCTTGCAGAGTGGAGGAATTGTGACAGTGGACACCTGTGTTCCATATTCTACAGCTATCTGGATGTGCGAATTTAATGCCAAATTTTGTGAGACAGGACTTGGCACCCCCTAGAAGTGTTCACGTATACTAAATGATCTGCTGTTGTGGAAGTAATTAAATTCCATGTTTATTGTCTGAAAGAGGTATTTCGGCTTTTCCTGTTGAGGCATAAAGTGTAAGTGCCGTACAGTTTCCTTCCTTTCTATAGAAACTGTGTTTGAGTGATTTTGCTCTTTTCCTGAAACCTGTTAGGTCACTGAACATCTGACTGCTGGGCACCTGCCCTGTCCCTTCAGTTGAGGTGGGATTGGCAGCACTCCCCAGAAGGTGTGCAGTGCCCAGAAAGCGTAGGAGGGCCTGACGTTTGCTATCCTGGGATAGGTATTAGAGTTCACTAGATGCTTGAGGAGAGCTAATGAGACGGGAAAAAGGCAGCCCACCTCGAGGGACCCGAGGGACAGAGCCTGTGAAGGGAGAAGCGCGTGTGTGGAATAACCCTGACCGGGAAGAAGACCTCAGTCTTCTTTGAGCCTGCAAAAAGAGGTCACTGAAGGCCCAGTTAGTTCCTCCTGGGGAGCGTCCCCTTCAGGTGTCCCCGAGGTTCACAGCAGCCATGGAGGGAGCCCTTTGTACTGGGAGAAGCTGCAGAGTTCTGGAAAGCGGGGGATTTGCAGGTGTATGTGGTTGAGGTTGGGAGGCTCTTTCTGAGGGTGGAATTGTTAGTGTCCTGGGGCTGTTTCTTGACTTTGTCCAATAAAGCATCTGGATTTAGGTAAGAAGTTCCTTAATTCTAAAGGAGTGTTGCATGAGGAGGAAAGCACCAACTGTAAGATTTCTGTGGATCTCACAGTGTAGGCAGAAAAGGCCTTTCTTTCATAGGGAGGAGCAAACATGATTAAAGTTGGGAGGGGAATGGCACAACTCTGGGGCAAAATCAGATCCCAGATCAGAGAATGTTTCACCCTAAGTCAGCCTGTTCTTAGGAGGGGCATAAGGAGGGGTTGACTGTTGGCTCAGTCTGTGCGTGGGACAAAGTTCAGGGACCTGGAGGAGAGAAACTTAAGCAAGTTTGGTTAACACATATTTTATTCTGACCACCAAAGACAAAACTCTTTAATTGCTTATGGGCCCCGGGGGGGGGTGGTGGGGGGAGGAAATAGGAGATTCTGTGGCTTTGTGATACCTAAAACAGGGAGCATCATCTAAGTCATAATGGGAAGGGTGATTCTTTGCAGTAAGCTGCTCTTGGAGAACACAAAGGAAGGGGAATTTCTTTTATCACAGCTGCTTACCAGGGTTAACTGTCCACCCCATCTTTCCCCACCACTTTCTCTTGCCCATACATCTCTTCCATTTGGCTGAGTTGTATCTTTTATAATAAACTGGCCAATGAGTCTTTGCTGAGTTCTGTGAGTCCTTGTATAAAATGAATGAACTTGAGTAGGGGATTATGGGAGGCCCCAGTTTATAGTTAGTAGCTCTGAAGTCTAGATGGACCCTGGAGATTGTGACTGTCATCTGTAGTGGGGACGATGTCGTGGCACTGAACTCTGACCTTGTGGGGTCTGTGCTGCCTCAGAATTGAGTTATTGGACAACCAGTTGGTATTGGAGAATTGGCTGTTGTTCAGCAAACTCCACACATTTAGTGTCAGAAAAAAGACAGCACAGGGACCCTGGCTGGAGAGAGACTCTAGAAGGGAGGCTCTATTCCCCTGCACACAGGCTGTTACCCTACACAGAGTCCTATGATTCCACTGATTCCACATCTCCTCCCAGGTAGAGGCAACTGAGGACAGAAAGGGAAGAAGTTCTGAGAACAGAGCCCTGCCCCCACTGTGTTGCCACCACATAATTCTACCCACTCCTGAACACACCCACTAGGCACTGACTGGCCACGTCCCTTCCAGGACAAAACATGACCCTCAGGAAATTGTGCCCATAGCGCCTCTTCTCCTAGAGTTTCCTGTCAAAATTCCCATACAAGTGCCTAAAAGACTCCTGGCTTATCCTTGCCCCCAACCGTGAACTGCAGCAGCAACCCACACCCAGTCCCTCCATCACCTGAGGCTTGTGGACCACCCAGTCGTCATTTCGTCTGTCAGCATGGACACAAGGATAAGTCAGAGCATAGCCCCTCCTGGGCCAGTACCTGCAGCACAAACCAGTCCTTCCACCAATTCTGCCCTGCCCCCTATGCCTGAGTTCTTAGTTGCACCTTCCCTTCTTCTGCCTTTTACTTCCCCACAAACCCTGTCAGGGTCTAACTCTGTCACCCAGGCTGGAGTGCAGTAGTAGCATGATCATGCAGCCTCGACCTCCCTGGGTTCAGGTGATCCTCCCACCTGAGCCTCCTGAATCACTGGGACTACAAGTGTGTGCCCCTACACCGGACCAATTTTGTAGAGACAGTCTCACTATGTTGCCCAGGCTCATCAGGAACTCCTGGGCTGAAGTGATCCACCTGCCTCTGGTGAGCCACCATATCTGGTCTACAAACCCCATTTTAGGCACACACAGTGTGTCCAAGGCCAACCCTCAGGTGCCTGAATCCAGCGCCTGCTGGAATTCACATGTCCATGAATTCAAGATTATGGTCCTAAATCTCACAGTTGTGAGAACAAATACAAATTAGAAATACAAGATTAACCCTTCTTGAAAAATAAGGGAAGACATGTTTCTCTCCTTCCTTTTTTCTGAAGCATTTACTTTAGAAAATTTTATATGTAAATTTTTTTCTGCATTTTAGAAATATGTCTAAATCATTCTAACAGCTAAACAGGCCTTTTGTCTTTTGTCAGTCTTTTCTTTTGAGTCTCACTGTTGCTCAGCCTAGAGTGCAGTGTTGCCATCTTGGCTCATTGCAATCTCCACTCCCAGGTCCAAGTGATTCTCCTGTCTCAGCCTCCCAAGTAGTTAGGATTATAGGTGCTGGCCACCATGCCTGGCTAATTTTTCTATTTTTAGTAGAAACGGGGTTTCACCATGTTGTCCAGGCTGGTCTCAAACTCCTGACCTCAGTTGATCTGCCTGCCTCAGCATCCCAAAGTGCTGGGATTACAGGCCTGAGCCTCTGCACCTGGCCATCAGTCTTTTTGATTCAGGACATTTTTTCTCTAGGAACTGGGAATCACTGATTTGAAATGTAAGTATCAAAGAAGACAGCCATATCTCACAATGTCTCTGGGAGAGCAGGCATCTACCTTCAGGCACCTGGCTCCAAGTTGCAAATCTATCTGTCATGAAGACATGGGATTTTTTTGCCTTTGACTATAGCCAATTAAAAAACACAGATAGCCTCCCAATTGCCCGGTGAATTTAAGATGAACTGTATCTGACAGATAGTGCTGTCAGGCCTTCTACTTGAGGACTAATTATGGTGACTTTTTGACCAGTGAGTGTTTTTCCACTCTCTTAGCAGATTGCCTGTAATGTCTTTCACATTCTGCTCTGATTGTATCATAAAACAGTTTTCTTTCTTTTCTACCATTGTGGATAGTTTTTCTAGTGATTTTGTTTTTAATTATATTTCCCAAACATTGCAAAATGTAAGGTGCCCACCCACCAGGCCTCAGGCTAGAGGGGCCTTTCCCTCTAAGACATCCAGTCACAACCCACAGTTGTGCAGCAAACGGCCCGTTGCCCCAAAAATCTGCAGGCAAAATTGTCTCTCTTCTTACTTGGAATCTTTAATCCCTTCTAGAACAGTTTGGCCAGATTTCTACAAAAATAAGTTCACAGGGCATCATTTAGCCATTCTGGCTCTGTCTTTCCATGCCCCTGGCATCTTCAAACCTGAAACTGATTCAGAGACCATGGGGCCTGGAAACCAACCAGGCACACACACGTGCATTGAGTAGGCCTGAGAATCTCAACATTCCCCTCATCCTCCTGCCCAAATGCCCATGAATGTGCAGAGGGTGCATGCCACTTCCCTTCCCCTCCAACACCTAGATCTGCAGCTCCAAATGTTAGACCCAGGTCCTGGGGTTCTCCAGGATGTGGAGGCCTTCCTGAGGGTTTCCTCTCTTCACAGCAATACCCAAGAATAGAGAGCCAGGTTGATTCCACCTGGAGTTTGCACATAAAGTCTGGTCTGCACCTGGGATCCTCAAGACAAGGCCAGACTGAGGATGTATAGAAAATCCAGGGACATTTTCTGCATTGTGAGAGATTGCCATAGACCTTATAAAGTCCTACATTTTGTGTGGGGTCCTTCAAGTTTTCCAGATCTTGTCCAGTAAGCTGCTGCAGTTCTGTGAGGGCCTTCTGGTCTAAGCAGAATGTGGTGGCAGAATCTGTGAGTGTAAAGCACCACCTAAGCAGAGGGAGGGCAGGGCCACAACTGTCTAGAGCCCTGAGTGAAGCTACACCTTCCTGTGAGCTGTGTTGCTGGAGTAGGATCATCTTGTCCTCTCTTGTACCCAAGAGTTAGCTGATCAGGTATAGGTAATATTGCACCTGGATCCAGGGTATGTGGCTTCACTGGGGCAGTTCTGCTTTCTATCCTGGCCCCACAGTCAGCTGAGTCTCTCCTGCCCAAATCACTATTGGGGCATCAGCACGGGATCACCAGGGACTCTCTCACCAGCACCTGGGAATCCTTGAGACACATATGGTGATGTCCTGTGCAGGCTGAGGTCAGGCTGACCACAAGATCTAATCTTTCCATCTCAGAGGGAAAGGAAAGTGTCATCCAGGATTTGTCACCCCACTCACAGAAGGAATCTCTTTATTTGGTATCCAAATGGGATTTGCTCCAGTTTTCTAATATGTGGATGAAGAGCAAAGAGGAGGTCTGGAGACTCAGACTGACAGGTAAACCAGTTGCTTCCATTTCATGTGTCCATTGGAAAAACAGATGCAGCAGCCATAGTTCCTACCATCCAGGAACTTTCAGTCTAGAGCAGAAGGATAGTGGCCAAATTCAGCATCATGTGGTCCGGAGCAAGAACAGACGTGTACAGGGAACTTAGGCTTGATTTGGGACATTTCCCTTATGTTCACTTTGTGAGTTCTGATATCACCACCTGAAGGGCCACCCATGGACAGAAGAGTTATGATTATTTCTACTGATTTTCTCTTGATTTGGTTTTTAATATAATATTCCCAGAAAGCCCTATGCGTTTTGATTAAATTGCTTGTTAACAGATTTACAAAGTAGTTAAGAATGAAGCAATTAAAATCAGAAAAACTCGGGGAGTCAAGTTCTTGTGGTCAGGCTTAGGAAAGACAGGACTGAAAATAAACCAGCAACATAGAGATAGGAAGCCTAGGGCCTGCCCCCTGCCCCTAGCCTTGCTGTGTCCCAGCCCTGCCCAAATCCACCCTCTTCTGAGCTTGGTTCAGATCTGGTCTCACCTCGGAGCCTATGCTGACAGAACTGTTTGTTGGAGATCAGACTTCTGAGTAGTTGCTCTTGCTGGTTCTCCAGAGCTGGTGCTCACACTTTCCCCAAACCACAAAGCAGATAAATGGGAACAAAGGACAATATGGAGTCTGAATTTTTTTCTTCATTGAAATCAGTGCCTCTAGAGACATCCCACCTGGCAACATTTTTTCCATTCCTGCAGATCCAGTAGTTGCTCCACAAGTTGTAACAAAGTCAACGTAAAGACTTTGTTTTTACGTAAAAACTGCACTGAGAAATCCTCATGAACTAAACTTCACCCTTCCTTTCTGTATCCCTCCAGTCCATCTATAGTTAGCTTTTGTAGTGACAGGAAACAGAGAAGAAATGGAAAGGCTGGGGCCATGATCTACATCCTGCTGGGAATTATGGGATACTCAGGATCCACATCCCAGGGGTTTATGTGGCTTAACTCACACCATGTGATGTTCCTAGCACAGTACATACTGTGAGCACATAGTCCAAGCTCAGTAAACACTGCTTTAATGCAGGTATCCATGCTGTTTTCCAAATGCTGACTTACATGTTACTGTCTTCTCCAGCCTTCTGTAGACTTTAAATGGCTGGCAAGGGATGTGACTTTTCAGGACAGTAGTTGGTGGTCCTCGCTGTGAATGAAAAGTATGTGTTGTGATTAAGAGTATTGCTTGTAAGGGACTCTGTGCTGTGCCCACTTCCTTTAGCTGAGTGCTACTAATAATGGGTCTTAAAGAAGCCAATTCATGGAAGCTTTCCAAACCTGCAGAATCATATTTGGCCCCAGAATACCAAATGATGTGTATGCATATGGAGCTTGAGAGACAATGCTTAGCTAAGTGGGTCTCAGCCCAGGCTTCTAAGCAGGGTCACATGGCCAGTTTGAAGAAATATGGCCACCTGCATCTTCCCCCCAGGTCCTGTTTATCATTATGTTCTGATTATGATTTACTTTTTCCCCCACTAGTATCACGGCAATGATTATGGGTCCATCTGTGAGTTGGCACTGATACCAATTAATTTGTCTCATTACAACCAATGCTAACCTCATTCACCTGGTTCAGGTGCTCTCGGCCAGATTCCTTCACTATTTAGTTCTTTTCCTCTTTGTCATTAATGAGTATCTAGGAGGGAAGATTTACTGAGTGATGCAAATAAACCATCATGTCTAATCCAGAGACTCATTACTTTTTAGTTTTCCTTTGCTTGTAGGTTGCTTTAGAAAGTGAAGGCTCTCATATTTGTTGACTGTAGATACCGGTTTTTGAAACTAGAAGTTCTGAAACAAGCCTGAGTTCTGTAGGTTTCCTTTTATTTTACTCATGTCACAGCATACTCTCCTTATTCTCTGTATTTTCAGAGAACGATAACAATGAACATGTAATTAATATGTCTATTGTCTTAAAATTCTAAAATATAACACAGCACATAGAAGAAATAAAACAAAAACTTGAGGGGAAAAAACAGACTCAGAAAAACAAGCTCTTATTTTAGTTCATATCATTGTGTGTACTGGTCTTCATAGTTTGCTTAAAAAACATAAAAAGGGATCATCCACAAGAGCTTTATAGTTTTAACACAATTTAAAATATTTCCTAATTTTATTTAGAAATGTCCTGTCACGGGCCGGGCGCGGTGGCTCACGCCTGTAATCCCAGCACTTTGGAAGGCCGAGGTGGGTGGATCACGAGGTCAAGAGATCGAGACCATCCTGGTCAACATGGTGAAACCCCGTCTCTATTAAAAATACAAAAAATTAGCTGGGCATGGTGGCGCCTGCCTGTAATCCCAGCTTCTCACGAGGCTGAGGCAGGAGAATTGCCTGAACCCAGGAGGCAGAGGTTGCAGTGAGCTGAGATCGCGCCATTGCACTCCAGCCTGGGTAACAAGAGCGAAACTCCATCTCAAAAAAAAAAAAAAAAAATGTCCTATCACTTACCATGTATGTATAGTTACTGTTTTTATGTACGTGTGTGCGTATGATGTCAGCAGCATTTGATCAGTTTTGTGTTGCTGCCTTCCTGTTTTCATCATTCTTCTCAGTTATGACACCTGCTCTGAACATCCTTTTATAGTTGTCTCTGCATATTGGCCTGCATGTCCCTTTAAAATGAATTCTAAGTTACATACTGGGGTAAAATATGAGCTCTACTATGTACTAGATATTTGGCAAAAAGAAATTTTCAGGCTTCAGAGGGGGGGCTGGTTGGCAAAATGTTTTATAAAAGAGGAAGAATACTATTGCTTCTAACAGGGTTTATTTTTATGGTTTTATCAATACATGAAGAACTGGTAGGATGACATCTAGTACATAGTAAATGTTCAAAAAGGATTCTACTGTTCTTGCTATTAGGTTATAACCTGTCAATTTCATAAAACTCGCAATTCCACATCATCCCTGAATTCTCTCCTCAGTGTTCTACCTCTCTACTATTCAAGAGGGGTGGCCTCTGGACCTGAGGCATTGGCATCACTGATGAGCTTGTTAAAAATGCAGAAACTCAGCCCAAACCCCAAGCCTCCTGAATTAGAATCTGCATTTGAACAATTCTCCAGTTTATTGTTGAATACAATAAAATTTGCAAAGTATGCCTCTAAGTCACCATGACTTTTCCACCTGACAATTATATACAACTGATTGTGGATCATGTAAATATAACTCTCAAAAATATATATTCCTATGTTGATGCCTTAGTTTTTTATTTTTGGGGTTTTTTGTTTGTTTGTTTGTTTTTCAGATGAAGTTTCTCTCTTGTTGCCCAAGCTAGAGGCACAATGGCATGATCGCGGCTCACTGTAACCTCCATGTCCCAGTTCAAACGATTTTCCTGCCTCAGGCTCCTGAGTAGCTTGGATTACAGGGGCCCACTACCAGGCCTGGCTAATATTTTGCATTTATTAGAGATGGGGTTTCATCATGTTGAGCAGGCTGGTCTTGAACTCCCGATGTCGGGTAATCCACCCACCTCGGCATCCCAAAGTGCTGGGATTACAGGCATGAACCACTGTGCCTGGCCTTGATGCCTTAGTTTTATATTTTATATTCTATAAAGGTATAGTATCTACACTGGTTCTGTAGATCTTATGTCATTCTCTTTCCACAGTTAGAGAATATGCTAGAAAATATTACTGTGTTTAAAAGTATCTTACCGAATATTTCAGGTCGCTCATAATTCAGTCAGTTCTCTTAACTCTCTTATTTCATCTTGGGTCAAGTGATGAAGTCTGCCCATGGCCACATGGTCAATGTGTTAATTATTTTTATTTCAGCGACTGCTGACATTCAGGGATGTGGCCATAGAATTCTCTCTGGAGGAGTGGGAACACCTGGACTCAGATCAGAAGAATTTATATGGGGATGTGATGTTAGAGAACTACAGAAACCTGGTTTGTCTGGGTGAGGATAACTTGGCTTTGGAATGTCTAATATCTAATAACTAAGCGTTTGATTTCTTTCCTTTGTAGAATGTCTCTTGGGAGCTTATGCTTTATATGAATGAACTCAGATTCCTACTTCCAGGAAAAAAAAATTGTGGGTTTGTTGTAGGAAAAAAACTTCCTAATGTTTGATCTTAATATTTGCCTTCTTTCTGGATGATGTACAAGCTTCACTCTAGTTTAGTGGTGATTCTAGAAATTGAGTGATAAAAACTATCATTGCCCACAGTTTAAAATCCAGTTCCTTCTCCTTATTTTTGTTTCAGTCATACTTGGAAGTGAATCTCAGGATTCCCAGATTTAAAATACTTTCTAAATATTTTAAAGAAGCTGACAGGAAGCAATATTTGGGGAAGTAATTTTCTAGAATCCTCTATAATGTTCCCTCTTTACTTAGGACCCTACTGAGTTGGCATTTAAAGAACTCCTAACAAGAGTCATGTGACTTTTTCTAATAAAACAGGTCTTGCTGTTTCTAAGCCGGACCTGATCACCTTTTTGGAGCAAAGGAAAGAGCCCTGGAATGTGAAGAGTGCCGAGACAGTAGCCATCCAGCCAGGTAGGTGGGAGTGAATGAATAGATGAATGGGTGAGAGGTCCAGAGGTCAGGAAAGAACCAGACCTTGAAGTGTGGATTGGGAAGTTCTCCAGTGGAAATGATTTTTGAAATGCCTGAATTTATTTCTCTTGCTGTCGCAGAGGGATATGTTCTGTCTCATACTCTGAAATTATCTTTTTTTTTGAGACAGTCTCGCTATGTTGCCAGGCTGGAGTGCAGTGGCGTAATCTCGGCTCACTGCAACTTCCACCTCCCAGGTTTGTTCAAGCAATTCTCCTGCCTCAGCTTCCCGTGTAGCTGGGACTATAGGCGTGCGCCACCGTGCCCAGCTAATTTTTATATTTTTTAGTAGAGATGAGGTTTCGCCTTGCTGGCCAGGACAGTCTCAATGTCTTGACCTCGTGATCCACCCTGCTTGGCTTCCGAAAGGGCTGGGATTACAGGCGTGAGCCACCGCACCCAGCCACTCTGAAATTATCTAAGGATTCTCCTTCACCTTCTGTGATCCACCATCACATTCACAGTGACAGCCAAAGTGCTCCCCTTGGCCTGTGAGGGCCTGCCTTATCTGGCTGATCTTGCATTGATTTGGGGGCTCTGGGGAAGTCTGTGCATGTTTCTACCTCTACATGAAACCATTTTTAAAGTTCTGTTTTTGCCTCATGTCAGAAGTATGTGAGGGCAGTGATGGAAAGTGGGATTTCTTTTAGAAGTTCCAGGAATTCTGTGAACAGATGTCACACATTTTCTGGTATTTTAATTTCTAATACTATGGTGGTTTCCATGATGATCCTACAAAAATTGTTACTCAGTAACTTCATCAGGGTACAAAGCATCTTCCTAAATATAAAAAAAAATCTGATCCTGTATTTCACTTCAACTTTTCATCTTTCCTAGCCTAAACTAAGATTAGAAATATAAGCTCTACATATACAAATTCCACATATATAAAATCATTTAGTATATTACTATGTAGAATTCTTAACTGAATGAATGTCTATGGGGAGCTTAGTACATTGCCCAGTATATAGTAACCTCTCAACTCATATTTAATAACATTTTATAATTTTATCTAGTTAAGTGTGAAGCTTAATGAGTCTGTGTTATGTTCATTTTCTTCCTTTTACTTTTCTTTTCCTTCCTTCCTTTCATGTGGATTTTTTCCCCACACTTGTAAATTATATATATTTAAGGGATACATCCTGATAATTTGATTTTATATATGTGTACATTGTATAATAATACAATAAAAATAATTAACATTAATTATCTCATATAGTTGCTAGGTTTTTTGTGGAGAGAACATTTAAGATCTGTGTTAGAAAATCTCAAGTATACAAGAGTATTGTAAACTACATTCACAGACATGTAGTTTACAAGTCTATACATCAGATCCCCACAATTCATTTATCCTTTAAATGGAAGTTGGTACCCTTTGACCAGAATCTCCCTGTTTTTACCACCTCTCAGCTGCTGGGATCTGTTGTCCTGTACTTTACTTCTATTAGCTCAACTTTTTTAGGTTCTACAAATAACTGGTATTATACAGTATTTGTATTTCTCTATCTTCTTCAGTTACCATAATATCTACTTGGTCTATTCATCCATATGTTGTCAAAAATGGCAGGATTACCCTCCTCATTACACTGAATAATATTCCACTATATATTGTGAGTAATCAGCTGTGAACATAGGGGTGCAGATACCTCTTTAACACACTGATTTTATTTATTTATTTATTTTTGAGATGGAGTTTCACTTTGTTTCCCAGGCTGGAGTGCAGTGGCGCCATCTCAGCTCACTACAACCTCCGCTTCCCAGGTTCAAGTGATTCTGTCATTTCAGCCTCCTGAGTAGTTCCTTACATGCATGTGCCATCTCAGTCTCCTTACATGCATGTGCCAACCTGCCTGGCTAATTTTTTTGTATTTTTATTAGAGACAGGGTTTGCTATGTTGGCCATGCTGGTCTTGAACTCCTGGCCTCAAGTGATCTGCCCACTTCAGCCTCCCAAAATGCTGGGATTACAGATGTGAGCCACTGAGCCTGCCAGATTGTATTTCTTTTAGGTATATACTTAGAAGTGGGATTGCAGGTTCATATGGTACTTCTGTTTTTAATTTTTTGAGGAGCTTCCATTCTTTTTCCCATAATGGCTGGATGAATTTACATTTCCACCAACAGTGTACAAGGTTTCCTTTTCTCCACAGTCACCGACATTTGTGATCTCTTGTGTCTTTGATGATAGCCATTCTAACACTGTGAGGTGATATCTCATGATTTGATATCTCATTGTGGTATCTCTGTAAATGTGAGGTGATGTCTCATTGAGGTTTGATGTGCATTTCCCTGATGATTAATTATGTTGAGCACCTTTCTTAAACCTGTTTGCCACTTTTATGTCATCCTTGGAGAAGTTTCTAATCAGGTTTTTTGCATCTTTTTAAGTCAGGTTTACTTTTTTTGGTAGTTGAGTTGTGTGAAATTCTTATATATTTTAGATGTGAAACTCTTATGAGATAGATTTTCTCCCAGTCCTTAGGCCAGTCCTTACGTTGCTTTTGCATGTTGTTCTTTGTTTCCTTTGCTGTGCAGACACTTTTAGTTTGACATAGTCACACTTGTTTTTTGATTTTGTTAATTGTGCTTTCTTGGTGTGAAATCTAAAAAGTCAGTACCAAGGCAAATGTCTAAGAACTTGTTTCTTGTGTTTCTTCTAAAAGTTACACAGTTTCTGGTTTTACACTTAAGTGTTAATTCTTTTTCAGTTCATTTTTATATATGGTATAAATGTTCAATCACATCTTTTTGCTCATGAATATCCACCTTTTCCAGCATCATTTATTGAAGAGACTGTACTTTTCCCTTTGTGTATCTTGGTGCCCTTGTCAAAGATTGCTAACTGTATACACGTGGGTTTATTTTTGGTTTCCTTATTCTGTCCCATTGGTCTATGTGTCTTTTTAGGTCAGTATAATACTCATGATTAGTATAGCTTTGTAATAGTTAGGAATGAAGAAGTGTGATGCCTTCAGCTTTATTCTTCTTTCTTATGATTGTGTTGGCTATTTGGGGTCATTTGTGGTTTTATAGAACTTTGAAGGCCAGATGCAGTGGCTCACACCTGTAATCCCAGCACTTTGGGAGACTGAGACAGATGAACTGAGGAGTTCAAGACCAGCCTGGCCAACATGGTGAAACCCCATCTCTACTAAAAATATAAAAAGTAACCAGGTGTATTGGCACATACCTGTAATCCCAGCTACTGGGGAGGCTGAGACAAGAGAATTGCTTGAACCCAGGAGACAGAGGTTGCAGTAAGCCAAGATCACACCACTGCACTCCAGCCTAGGCAACAGTGAGACTCTGTCTCAAAACATATATATATAATTAAATAAATTTTAGAATTTATTTCTATTTCTGTGAAAACTGACATTGGAATTTTAATAGGGATTGCATTGTATCTGTAGATCACTTTGTGTAGTGTGGACATTTTATCAGAATTAATTTTTCCCATCCATGAACAAGGGATATCTTTCCATTTATTTGTGTCTTTTTAAATTACATTCATCAATATCTTACAGATTTTACTGTAGCAGATCTTTCACCTCCTTTGTTAAATGGAGTCATGTGAATTTTATACTTTTTGATGCTATTATAAATTGGATTTTTGCTTTCACTTTTCTTCTCAGATCATTTATTGTTAGTATATAGAAATGCAACTAATCTTTGCATGCTAATTTTGTGACCTCAGCTTTACTGAATGGGTGTATTAGCTCTATCTCTTTTTGTATACTCTTGAGGGTTTTCTATATGTAAAATCACCTAGTCTGCAAGCAGAGAGAATTTTTATTCTTCATTGCTGATGTGAGTGCCTTTTATTTCTTTTTCTTACCTAACTGCTCTTGTTGCAGGGCAAGTGAGCCCCCACTTGGGACTTATCCTGGCAAGGTTAAGCCTTTTTCTTTTGATTAAGAAATCAAAAGAAAAATCAAAATATACCCTGAGACAAGTGAAATCAGAAACACAAGAAGCCAAAACTTCTGGGATGCAACAAAAACGGTTCTAATATAGAAGTTTATAATAATAAGTGAAGCCTTCCATTCTTCACTCAGGAAGAATGGAAGCACAAGCTAGTGGTAGAAGAAAAGAGCTTTATTGAGCTGGCAGTGCTGCAGCTCTGTGACTGCTCCTGTGGAACAAGGCTCCCCTGCAGGCAGTGTGCTGAGAGGAGCAGTTCTGCAGCCATGTACTTACATGCCCACTTTTCCTTACATGCAAACTAAGGGATAATGGCAATGTTTTTTCCCTTCAATTATTTGGAAGAATTTGAGAAGGATTGACATTAATTCATCTTTAAATGTGTGATACAATTCACCCATGAAGTCATTTGGTAGTGGAGTTTTTCTCATTGGATTTTTTTTTTATTACTGCTTCAATCTCCTTTCTTATTACTGGTCAGTTCAGTATTTCTGTTTCTTCCTGATTTAATCTTGGTCAGTCATTCATTTCTAAGAATCTATTTCTTCTAAGTTATCCAATTGGTTATCCTGTAATTATTCATAGCAGTATCTTGTTATTCTTTGTGTGGTATCAGTTGCAATGACTCATCTTTTCATTGATTGATTGATTGATTGATTGATTGATGGCCAGGCCAAAGTACAGTAGCCTGATCATGACTCAGTGTAGCCTCAACCTCCCGGGCTCAGGTGATTCTCCCACTTCCCAGGTAGCTGGGACTACAGGTCCATACCACCATGCTCAGCTAATTTTTGTATTTTTTGGAGAGGGGTTTCACCATGTTACCCAAGCTGGTCTCCAACTCCTGAGCTCAAGTGATTTACCTGCCATGGTTTCCCAAAGCACTGGGATTACAGGCATGAGCAAGCACACCCAGCCCATTTGTAATGTTTTGAGTCATTTCTCTTTTTGTTCCTTTGCTTAATCTCACCAGAAGTTTCTTAGTTTTCTTTAAAAATCTCAACTCAGTTTCTTTGATA